GAGAGTTCAGCAAAATCAGTAGGTTCTCTAGCTATGTGTGAATCAATATGTGACTCAGTAGCATTATAATACTATGAAGAGGGTCATTAGAGTGTTACTTAATATTAATTTGCCTTGGATTGGACATTCACTTTGATGTCCAGGAATGTTTTCAAGGCAGGCTTTTTCTTAGCTTGCTATTTGGATGAAGGCCTTATCATTCGCTCCCCAGCTCCTTCCTAGGACCATCTATATTGGAATCGTTCCTCTTCTTGGTGTCATCGTGGAATTTAAAGCTTGTGAAAGCTTGAGGCTTTCAAGACAACTGGTAATTCTCAAAGCAAATGGGGTCACTGTGCAGTTTTGATATGAAAAATAAAACCTGATTAGCAGTCTACTCTCCTCTAAATGGGGGAACTATAAAGAGATCCATCAGGCTTCATTTCTGATCCAAAACAGTTCTCATAGCTCAGTCTACAAGATTCCATGACATGTTTATGGAGTCACAGAAAAGTGGAGAAGGAATGTGGAAGAAACAAAAACTAAAATCCCCAAACAGAAAACCCCAGATAATCTCAATGACCTTCAGTGGACAGGTATGTAAGAGTGTGGTCTTGGTACAGAAGGAGAGAAAGAGAAAATACAGAACCAGGAGGGTACAATCATGCCACCCATATATTCAATTTCCAGTTTTATTTTCATAAAATGACAAGATGAAAAAAAAAAAAAAACTTCTAATAAGCACCATTGAAAAACATTGCCCGGCCAACTTGAGCACGAACATAAATATTACTTAAATAAGTTCAATTTCTTTAAAAATACAGGACCTCTTAGAAACTTTTTACTTCAGGAAGAAATTTCCTGCATCATATCCAAAATGCTTCCCACCATGACAAAAGGAATTTCTGATGGGCTTTGAAAAAACAATGCTATGGGGTCAATGGTTAGATAGCACCAAGAGAATGTGCAGGGTCTACAAAGTTAGCACTCTGGACTTCAGGGGGCTAGGTCGGTCCCAGCTCCTTTATGTACCTCTTCATTCTTCCCGTTGCTAATTTGACTCTACTGAACATTTCATGTAGAATGACCTAGTCGATGATGAAAAAAACAATGGAAAAGCCAGTAGCAGCAAGTCTCTCTGATGAAACCAGTGGAGCAGACTTATCAAGTAAGCAAAATGCAAAAACCAGTACATAACACACGAAGGAAATCACGTGTGGGAAGTATCGATGTTGGACCATGAAACACTAAGACGAATGGTGCTGAACACAGCTCTGCAGGCTGTTCGTAATGCCCTCTGGTTTAGTTTCCTATCATTTCCCCAGCGGTGAGCTCAAGCATGAAAACGACTGATGCAAGAGCTTTCTGTTTCATTTTGATCTAGATATGCTTCTGTGATGTTTTGGAAAAACATTTCCAGGCATCTCAAAGAGGAAACACGCAAGTAAATACAAAAGAAAAAAAAAATGGACCTTTGAACCCAGGGCAGGAAATCAAATCGTTACTTTAACGTCAAATTTGGCATCAGATACTTTGGTCATACAATACCGTCTCTGTGGTTCTGGCTGCTTAGCACTAAACATCCAGTTATAAAAGGTAGGCTTGTTGTAGGTTTATTATTTTTTTTCCATTTAAGTTCTGACAAAACAGTTCACCATCTCCCTGCACAAACTTGAGAGAGAGAGAGAGAGAGAGAGAGAGAGAGAGAGAGAGAAAGAGAGAGAGAGAGGGGCTTTCTTTTTTTTTTTTTTTTTGGCTTTTTTTTTTCTTTTAATAATATGGAATAATCTATAAGTCTACAGGAACAAAGAAATCTTAGATGGCTGCTCAGCCTTGGAATGTACATGTTTTGCAGCAAAGTTGTTGAAGGACCTTCCGCTGGCACAGATTATTCTTTTTCACAAGCATACAGAAGCCTCCTTCGGCCCAGGACTCTTCCGTTGCTTTTCCAGAAGTCAGCAAGAGAGAAGGGAGTGGAGGTCGAGAGCACGGTGCACACACATGGAGGGAGGTTTTGATTGGCCAGAGAGGCAGATTAGGGGGTTGGAGGAGGTCATTCGGGAACAGTCAACAGGGAGGAAATTTGGTCCACCCAAAGTGATTTCAGCCAACAGCATTGTTTTTCAAGCAGTCCAACGGGAAATGTGATTGGTATCCATTTGTGAAAGAAAAAAAAAAAGGATTGAAGAAAGAATAAGTTAGAGATCAACCATAACACAAGTAAGGAATTTTTCTTTTCAGAATTCCCTGGAGCAGAAAATATATAGTCACATGTACCATATTTCATTGAGTCCAAGACACAGTATTTAAAGATGCACTACTACTTTAAGTATCGCAAAGAAAATATCGCTTCTTATCATGACTCACTGATTATAATTTTACAGTTATGAAGAATATTTGTTAAATAATATTGTTTTGTTTCTATGCTCATGCAATAATCTCTTCTTTGAATACTGAACAAATTTAGCTTTGGAAGCTCTTTTGAACTGTGGTTAAATGGCACACAGGAGGTAGAGCCCAAGACTGACAGCTAGGTAATGACACTTAGGTGCTGTCCATCTGCTAGTCAACAGCAGTGGTAAGTGGCTATGAGTTGTTAAAGGACTCATCTGGGTTTATGATGTCCAAAGTAAAAAAAAAAAAAAAAGCCATGTCTTAGACTCATGGAAATATGAGAGCTGAAAGGAAGCAAATAGCCCCTTCTTAAAGGCAGTTGCCATGTGATCTGAACAGCCTGAAGAGGCAGCAGAGACCTTGTTCTTCAACTGACTGAACATGGTTCTTCGTTACCCACTTCTGCCCACAATCCTGATGTTCCCCCTTTACCAGCATGCAACTTGGTACAACTTCAACCATGCTAACTGACTGTGGTTGAGCAAAAGCATCGCAAGCGCTGAGGTGCCTAGTTCCAAGTGACAGAATTGAAGACTTCAAGTTATCGTGGATGGCCTGTGTCAGCCACCTGAAAGACTCCATCAGTTTTCTGGTAACTGACTGACAAAACATGCTGGCGATATTTTCAGTCACAAGGAAACCATGTTTTTAAGTGGAGGTGAGGTGGCACTTTCTGGTAACTAAAAGGTGATACTTACATGCCCTGGAGTGGCATCAATTCAGGCATCTCACTCCAGCAGGGTATAGTGAAACACTGCCCTGCCCCCAAAGCCCTGAGAATAGCATTTGAACAGGTCCAGCCCAAACATGGTGGACCGGTGATCCATCAGGACAGCCACAAAGGTGCTGTCACCATGGTGCACATGCAGGAGACCATGTACGATGTCTGATGTCCACCTGTTTCTAAGGCTTTTCTGAGATTCCTAGAGTGGATGTGTGGAATCACCATGCAGGGTCAGAATCACTGTCTTCTTCACTTTGTGAGGATAAAGGAAACAGGCACAGGAAGTTCACAGCCTGCCCAAGTCTGCAGCCCGGATGTGGATACTCTGATTCCACACCTGCTACATTCTGTGAACCACAGTACCGTTCTGCCTCCCTTTAGATTTCTGACAGAGGACACAATCAAAAGGAGGGAAAGAATAAGCCTAGACCAATGATTTTGTCACTAAGACGTTGCAAGTGTGTACTTTCTATCTTTATCACTACCCAATGTCATTCTACCTCATTGATATGTGTTTTCTGCACAAAGCTTAGGCACAAATTTTAGGGTCCCAGCAATGTGAATTTCACAGACAGTCAAAATGCACAAAAAGTTGCAAGGGCACATGTTACATTTACTTCTGGGGAACAGGCTAGATTAGTGAGGCCCCTGGGCATGGGCCAAGCTGTCAGGGGGAGAAGCCAGCGCAGATTGCTCAGGGAAGGCTTCGCGTGGGAGACACACGGGAAACCTTGGAAATGACCCACTCTCAGGCCACTGCTGGGACAATGCAATCAGAATGTAGGGGAAGGCGTGGGGTCTTAGCACCTTGTCTGAGAATCACTGGTGCAGAGAAAAGAAAAAAACAGACTAACATTTCCAAGCCTTAAGTTTTATACTTTGTTCTATCACTTCTACTGTCCCAGCCTACAGGTTTTTGTTTCCTGAGAGATTTGAAAATTAGTTCCTAATTTCAAGTCTTCACAAAGGATTCAGGCACTGTTTGAGTATTACTTACATATAAAAGTTATGAACAATATGAGTTATAGGAAAGTAGATTGAACTACGTGATCATCATGATTGAATTTTGTGCTGGTGAAGTTTTCTAAGGTGCTGTACAAACACAGGACACGGGGTGCTGACTGAGCACAATGCTTAGTGCCAAAAGCAGAACATAAAAAACTCTTGTATGGGGTATTTTAATGATCTGGTAAAAAAGTACATATGGAACATGATTTTAAAGAATTATGTCAAAAATTAATCAAAAAATGCTATACATTACATGATTTCAACTGTATGACATTTTGCAGAGGGGAACTCTGGAGACTGTGTCAGTGATTTCTGGGGTTTGGGGGAACAAAAGAAAGAAGCAGAGCACAGAAGAATCTGAGGGCAATGTCCTGTCCTGGGTGACCCCATAATGGTGGGTACGTGGCATAAATATTTGTTTAAGCCCACAGAGTGTACAATGTCAAGAGTAAATCTCTATGTAAAAATATAAACTTCAGATGAAAAGGATGGTTAGGCTCCCATACTGTAACAACCATGCCACTGTGGAGCCAGATGTGGAATCTATGGGAGGCTACCATGAACACACAGTACACCTCTGGACTTCCTGCTTCATTTTTCTGTGAGTCTAAAACTGCACTAAAAGTAAAGTTTAATAATAATAATAATAATAATATCCTAACTGGCACTATATTGGCTTGTGGGACTATAGGTAATATTTATTTCTTCTGACAATTAAAAAAATACAAAACTAAACCCATTAGAGTCATCCATTCATGATGAATAAATGCCAACAAGATATAAGACTTGCCTTATCTAATGCATGCTTGTTAGTTTCTTTTTGCAATGGATATGCATTTAGGCCTGTAGTGGAAAGGCGCTCTCTGCTCAGATCTAAATGTGCAGGTGTACTCACCATCCTTGCAGATGGCTCCCAGCTGGCACATCCCTGAGTCTAAGAGGTACCCACTAGGGCAGCTGGTGCAGTTCTTGAACCCTGGGCCACTGCATGTTAAACAGTTGTTGTCGCACCTGGAAAAAGATGTACAATTTTTAACCCTATTGTCCATGGGAGGTGTGTTTATCATCAGCTTTTTAATGTGCTAAGCTTATTCTCTCTTTGAGGAGGATATAAAAATCTTTTCCTTGCAAAATTGTTAGGTTTGATCACACTAAAGGAAACAGTGGGTGGCTACTGATGTCACTGGGATGCAGCATGTAGCAGAAGCAGCAGTACTGCTTTTAAAGTTTTAAGGAGGTCATGCCGCCAAAAAAAAAAAAAAAAGATCAGATAACTTGGGTTAAAGCTGTAAGGCAGTATCCACAGTTAAATGATTCCACTCTGTCACTCATAATTCTAAGTTTCCTCCTTAGCAATGAAGGCAGTCCCATAAGGACGCAGGCACCAAATGCTAAGGCCACGCACTGGATGCACTTACCTTTTGCAGGATTTGTACCCGTGCTCTGCAGAGTGGTCCAGGTAGTAGCTGATGCTGCAGCTCTGCACACATCTGCCCTCTTCCATGAAGTAACCCTCCGTGCAGTTAATGCAGCCATCAGCACCTGCTCCTGAAGTGCAAGAGACATGCAGGAAACAGAAACCAAGCCTCAGGGAAGAGTGCAACACGGGCAGTGCTTTTCAACAGTTTGGGAAAATGACATTCATCTGTTATAATTTTGTGTTATACTTTAATTGTGCTTTTTCTTCTTTTTCTTGTATGGGAGAAACCCCTCCTATTTTAAACTGAACCAATTTGTTCAAAGCACCTGCTCTCTTTGGAAAGAGAAGACATCGTTGGAACATTTGAGTTTCTCAGTGAGGAGAGGGTGTTGGTGGTAGACTTTGCCTAAAAATACACACACGATTATCAAAAGAGAAATAGACTCTTCTACATTTTCCTTAGACATATCAAGTGGGCTGAGTGAAGGATAGCTAGAGCCAGACAAAGATAATACTGGAAACAGAATAAACAGTAGAACTGAGAGAAGGTACCAGCACACGTGGCACAGAAGCGGTGGCAGGGCTGGCAGTCCTGGCCATTGAAGTACCATCCGTCTTCGCAGGTGACAGAACATCGGGTTCCCTGCAGGCTGGGAGAAATGTAAATGCAACGTAAGCAGACTTTTGCAATCCATGCCCAGCAGCCAGGACTTGCCAGACTTCATGTGGAACAAATACGCTATCCTCCGAGACCAGCGGGCTTGGGGGATGTTCAAAGCCAGGGCTCTAGCCTTATGCCCTACTTTTACCCTCTTGGTACGTATGATGCGATCTGTAGCATATGCACATGCTGGTCAGCTCTAGGGACAGTCTCCTGAACTTGTCACATCTTACCACCCAGCAATCTAAACAGTATCTGACTGATGAAACAATCAATCATGTTGCCTAACAATGTGCCCAGCACTCCCCTAATATCCAGACCTACTCCACAATAAATTTAAAAGCTGTTCCATAATTCTAATTGCATAGAAGCACATAGTAAAATAAATTACAACTCAAATAAAAGTTTAACAATGACCCCTTTCCAAGTTCTGGTCCAGAGTCCCTGGAGTAGCTTTTCACATTTTTAAGTGCTTCTAATTTTTAAACTTTTATTGCTTCTATCAAAACAACAGAATTCTTGGGCTGCAGATATGGCTTGGGGGGCATTGCATATGCTTAGCATGCACAAGCCCCTGAGTTCAACCCCTATCACCACACATCACACACATCACACACACACACACACACACACACACACACACACACACACACAAAGTCTATTACATTTCCTGAATTATTTACTTAAGACACTCTAGTAAGGGATTTAGTAAAAGTACCTACAGTGCTGCTTTCTCAAATATCTTGACTTCTCTTATTTTTTTATGTTTCTGGGAGTATCTATATATCACATTAATTTATACTGCATTTGAGTTTCTACTGTCTACCTTGTACAACGAGACAGTATCTAATAAGTTGCCAGAAGGTCAAATAAGAAATGCATACTTCTCTTCCCCTCCTCATTTTGTCAGCTGTGAGATTTCCCGAAGCATACAGTTTGATTTTCAAAATTATGATACACAGAATTTACAACATACAGTATCAGACACGGAAAAACTAGTCTGATGGAAACAGTGGAAATGTCATCCTGCGTCAGCATCAAGTCACTGACAGCACTGCACTCAGGACCACGGTAAACAGCTGCTGGATTTTTCAGTCTTTATGTTTTTCAGTTGGGATCTTATTTGACTGCTCCATGTGGATAATACTAACTTTAAAAGTTAGAGTTTATTTTTGCTATGTTCATGAAATAAAGTAGTGAAGTACAAAAATCACAGTAGACAAAAAAAAAAAAAAGAAAGATAATATCCTTTAATAGTTCTTGCTAGCATTTTACTTCATTTTCCTATTGGGTGTTATATAAAGATATTTTTCCCGCCTGCTTTTTACTTCTCTGTAAGAATTTATAGTCTCCATGGGCCAGACGGTTTTAGGAAAATCCAAGCGGCATCAAGCAGACAGAGGCAGCTTCATGGGAAGTGTGGGACCTTCATAGACCTTCTTTCTGGCCAGACAGCAGTCACTTAAACAGCCTTGTAGAGAAACCCCTCCTCCCTTTGTGCAATGGTAGAGACAGGACACTGCGTCCAATGGGTCTCTCGGAGGGAAAAGGGCCCTGGAAAACATCACAGTTCCATAAAGGATGCCTGCTTTTCCCAGGAAAGGACAACTCTTCTGAGCCAGCCATTGTTCCTCAAGAGACTGAGGCCGCAGTCCGTAGGAAAAAATAGGTACAAGAGGGGCATGGAGCACAGGGTGGTCACCACACCCTGAGGCTGCAGGCCCTGTGAGACGGAAAAGCCCAGTCCTAGGGAAGCCTGTGCCCTGCTCTAATGAACCGGCTGGGTCAGACCTGTGCATCCACAGTAGCTATGGAGCTCTTAAAGCATAGCTAACGCAGGCCAAGTAATGGAACTTTACATTTTTATATCATTTCAATCAATGTAGGTCTAAATTTGAGAAATTTGCTCTTGGTTTGATTATTGGCATACATTACAGTACATCTGGGACCTCCTGGCTTTTTAAACTCTTTCTCAGCTAGATTAAAAAAATGGAGACATTTCTCATAAAAAGAATTGTTGTCAGGATTGAGTTGTTCTTTAAGAACATATATGCCAGATTTTGAAAATTTAATAAGGCAACAAAAGAGGAATATAAAATACATTAGTTTTTCAAGCTTGCCACATGTTTAAATAATAATATTTTGGATATATTAGCCTGAATAAAATATTTTATTAAAATCAACTTCCTCTGCATTTTACTTCATTTAATATGGCTACTGGCATATTAAAATTAAATGTATGACTCTTACATTTCTATCAGACTGCACTGATTTAACTTTGTGAAGTGCTTGCTCTGAAATTAAGAAAGTAGTCCAAGTAATCTTTTATTTCTCATGGGCCAATTATGTACAAAGAGCTAGGCTAAGAGCCTTACAATGTTACTGTAGTTTATTTTTCACCATAATTCTACAAAATGTGAGCTATTCTAAGATGAGATAATGGAGGCTTGAAGTAGTTAAGTGACTTGCTCAAGGTCGCAGCGAGGCTCCTCTGCACCAGTCAGCAGAGGACACTTGAGCCCACACGGCTCTCCCTCCCTTCCATCGTCACCCCACAGTTCCTTCACGCAAAGTACGGAGGCTGAGCAGTATGGTACTCATAAGGAGCTTTCATCTTGAGATGCAAGCTACTCAAAGCAAACTAACACCAACTGCATTCATGAAAAAAAGAACAAAGCTACAGATCATAAATCTAAATGAAAATAATGTCTAAAAGTGATGAATAAAGGCACTGTCAATCCTGAAAAGGAATCCAGTAGGAGAGAACTATAACTCCTCACTGAGCCCAGAATGGTCTGATCTCCCCACCTTGACCCAGAGGCTAGCAAGTTGCTTTGTGCTGTAGACTCTTTTTGTCCGACTCTGACAATAAGTGAATCACTCATTCAAGGAAAACTCCCAGTGCTAAATCTACATGCATACGATAGCGTAATGGAACCATGCCTGAAGTACTTAAGATAAGAGAATGACTGGCTATGTGCAGAGAAATAATAAAGATAAGAGAGTAACTTTCCACCATCCAAGGAATTAATCAGGTGGATAAAATATAATTCACTGGCATTACCTGCACAGTAATCCTTGATCTGCACAATGCAGGCAAAAAGCATGAAGGATGCTTCTCAAATTGTCATTTTTATTGACTTGTATCTGACTCACTTGTCTACAGAGGATTTATTTAGCTTATAACCCTTCCTTAGCCAGGATGGCTTCCAATTTTTCATACCTAATGGCAGAGATAATGCAAATTGCATTCAAGTTTTTTCGTAGGAGTCAAAGCAAGGGTAGACAGTAAGAGTGTTATTACTTGTTTAGTCCTATTTTTTTCCCATTTTGTCTGCATTGAGAAGCTCCTTGGGCTGTGCTTTAGTAAATTCCCTCACTCTCTTACCTTAGCCCATCCCTGCATTCTGTACAATTATGGGATTCAGTACATGTCTTGCAATTTTCACTGCATTTCCGGCAAAGATTTTTCTCTGTTTTAAAAAGAGAAGCACCATTATAAGTTAGTTGGTCAAGAGGATTCCATAAAAGCATGTGAAGATGTTCTAATGTTTGCTAATGTATTAGTACACAGCCTCAAGTAGGGAATTGCAGGGAAAACCTCAGAATCAACATTTGTTATTACTTCTCCATAAAACAAATCCAAGCTCAGCCTGCTGCCCTGGGAAATAACTGACACTCATTTGCCAGCCTGTAGGCAGGAGAGCTACAGCCTACTTAGTTCTTCCTCGAATAATTTATAGGCCTTCCTCCCCTTCGCATTCCCTTTCCCAAGCAGAGTTTCCTAACTCCCAACACTAACAACTTCACTCCTGAATCTGTGCCTATAGTTTTCAGGATTCTCTCACCAGTGGCACTAGAAAAGGGAACTTACTGTGGAGATTCAACAGAAAGTATTGCTTATTTCTTGCCTTGACTAAAACAGTGCCTTGTACTTTATGTCTTCTGTGGAACTCATATAAATCTAGTCTCTTTCAGACAACATCTATGTTCTATAGAGTAGAAATGTATTGGTTTGAACAACTGCACTGTGAACCATGGTTTCCCTCTTCAACATAAATCCAGGTCCACATGGGAGGAAAGTAGGAAATGCACTATTCTATTGTGAAAAATGGTGATTTGGTATACCGAGTAAGGGATTTTACCTGGGACAAACTTTTGCGAGGGGACATGCCATCTGCTCTGATATTCCAGGAGATTATATTCCCAATGTATCTGTAAAACTGAATGAAACTTCAGCAGTTCTCCTCCTTTATCTGTCTCTAAATGTTGATGTTCTTTGGGGTTCCGTAGGAGCTATTAAGCTCTTGACAATACTGTGGTATTTATACATGGTACTCATTATGCTATTAAAACTGGCTGTGGCCTGGGACAGTGGTGGGAGCCTACAGCATGTGTGCTGCAGTGGGCTGTTGGTATCACTGAATGCTCTAGAAGGGTCATGGTCATTGGCCTAGGATATGAAATTACACATCCTATATTGGCCTTTTGCTTTTAGTATTTTTAGTGGGCAAAATCATGATCTCTATGCTCATTTGGTAAGTGGAGATTACGATGATACCCACTTTCAGCTTGTCTTGAGAAATTAATGAAATTATTCAAGAGGATAATATAAACTGTAAATGTACTGGCAGTAATTATTCCTAGTCACGATTATAGTGGCCACCATGTTGTAAGTAAAAGAACTCTTTACAGGAGAAAATTATAATGAAAAGCAGATATATAGGAGAGAGATACGCAGACATCTGAACTAATACTAAGTGGTAGCTACGGTAACTGAATTTCTTTCCTCAATTATCCTACTCCCAGACTCTCCAAAAAATGATTAGGCCCTTAAGGGCTGGAGGAATAGCTCAGTGATAAGAGTCCATTCATAGCACGCATCGAGCCTTACCAAGAGAAAACAAAGGAATCTCTCAGTTATTCGTAATTTGCCATATAATATCCTAGAATCAAATTTTTGTTCTAAGATTCAGCCTTCTTAGTAGAATTCTGACATTACTCTCCAAGGAATACTGAATATTTCTGTGGATTCTTAATGCTCCTTTTCTCCTGATTCTCCCTTTCCTTATCAGATTGTAGCTCACGATCCACATTTTAGAGCAAATAAGAACTGTAGAGAAATCCCTGCTCTCTACTCAAAAGGTAGGATGAAAAACTCATCTGCTACCCAGAGAGATACCTGCTTTGCTTTAGAGAATCTCACGTCTCATGACACAAGATATCTTTTAAAAACAGCTCTTGTTGGCTGAAAACAGGAGAATCACTATGAGTTCGGTCTACATAATGAGACCCTGTAGAACCTGCAGACCCTGTACCAAATACATAAAAACAAACGAACAGCTCATGTTCCTTTAAACTTGGGCTTTCTTATTTGTCAGATTGTGCAGAAACATGATATTCAGTGTCATTATACAGCATGGTGTGACACCTTTGACAAGAGAAGTTATCTGGAAATCAGAAATAAAACAAAAGATACCTCCAGCTCTTTGCAGGGCCCCACTGGAGTGCTGACAGGCATGTCCAGGGATCATCTCTGACAGGGATGGTGAACCTGTTAGAGCTTTCAGTGATACAAACAGCCTACTGTGGCATGCATTTCCCCAAGTTGGCCAACATGGCGCTAGGGCATGGTCTTTCATTTTGTTTACTAGTGATAGTGGATAAGGGAGACTCTATAAAGTTTTATATTATAGCATAGATCTTTATTTGACAAAGTTGCAAGCTATTACAAGACAAAATACCTCCCAAATTCTAGTTTTGTTGCCATGTAGGAAATTATTCAGTTTCACCTCTAGCGAAGAGCTTTCATTTTGCCTTTCCAGTAAACTACATTTGTCATCTTACATGCGACCTCATAAATGAGTTACATGCGTTTGACATATGTTCACTCTTTGTTTATAACAAAACCATGCTTTTTAAAACTTTTCACAGGGCACATTCTTATACCACACCACCTGTTCACACCTGGGGCATGTGCAGTAGTAAAGAGCAGGCCCAGCTGCTACCTGGTTATCCTTTATACACCCGCCTAGGGGGCCCATGGCTGGCAACTAAAAGTTTGGATCTCTCACTTTGAGGGTTTCTACCACTCTGCTGAGAGTGCTCAGGTTGTCTAAACTGTGTAAAAATAATATGGCTTAAAACAAACACCTGCTTTCCTTTGAGGAGTCTGACGTTTTGGAACATGCCCAGGCTTGGCACTGGGAGCTGGTCAGGTAGGCATCTGGGTCTCCATGGAGATTCAGAGGACATTTTACACATTTGACACAAATTCTTCTGGTGTAATGAAGCACGTCCTGAGTCACTGTACTGGGAAGGCACTCTTGGAAGGTTGTCTCTAGTTTTCTCTGGACTTCACCATTTCTCTTAGCTGATTTTAGTTTATTTCCCTTTGCTCTAATAAACCATAACTATGTATTCAAGAGTACAAGTATATCCTGAGAATGATGATCATTCCTAGCGAATGTTGACTCTGGACATGGTCTTGAGGACCCTCTACTATAGTCAGATGAGAATTTTTATACAGTGCTTCTAAACTGTCTCTTAAAATAAATTGGCTAGAATCTATTTGATATGAAGCAGTGTGCAGGTTTCATAAAGGATGAATATTCCTTCCAATAGCATTGAAATGAAAACCCTACACAGGGTCTCTGAAAGATGAATATTTGAAATCAACTCACTGGTGTCCTGATAGGTCCCATCAGGGCAGGGGATAACGCAGCTGTTGGTTTCTTCACTCAGGAAGTAACCATATTTACATGACAGGCATTGGTCACCATGGCTCCCGAAGCAGGACTCACAGTTGGGTGCACACTTCCGGCAGCGCTTCTTGTCAGCATGGTAGTGGCCCGGGGGGCAGCTGGAGACACAGATCCTGCATTGCAGAACAATAAGAAAGAAGGCTCCATCACCAGTGACTTGGTCCTTAGTGGCCTCAGCCTGGATATGAGTTCTGAACCAGGATGACAAGGACAAACCCGGAGAGCTGAGCACTGTTGGGTAAAGCATTTTCCCCGGGCAAGAGAAACACAGTTACATCAGATGAGGTGACCCTTGATCCTAGCCATCCCTTAGTTCAGGTCCAGTGCTGAAAGGAAGGTTTAGACGCTGCTGTTCAGGGTGGAGGCTAATCTCCACAGTATGCCTGGGGTGCTGAGTCAGAGGGAAAGTACATGGGAGCCCTGATTTTATGCAAAAAAAAAGATCACTCGAATGGGGGTCCTTTCTACTGTTGTCTGGGTCCTGTACGTGCACATGTAGGTAATAGTCCTGGTTGTCTGCTACAGTCTAAACTAATATAAAAATATTTACATTTATGTTGGTTATGAGAAGCTGTTTTTCTTAATAACCGCACATAACTGAAAGACAAAGCTTAATTAATTTATTTCTTCAACAAATATTCATTGAGCACCAATTAAATATCAGGCATTTCCGAAGTACAAGAGATCACAAAGTCACTGAATTAGTTCAGGTCTTTTTCCTCAAGGAAATTAGATTTTAGCACAGACTTAAACAGGGATCTGAGCCTGTCTGGCTCTGGGTGCGTGCTTGGGCTATGGTGGCACCACATGCAGCCCTGCAGAGTGACTTCTGCCTGAAAGAGGAGGGAGGAGGGAGAAGGTGGCTGCACAAGGGCCATGGGCTAGGGAGGACGTGGTGTAGTGGGTCAGTCCATGCCCTGATCCCACTGACACATGGTACCTTTCGGTACCCCAGTGGAAGACTGAGAACACTTGGTATGTGCTGGGGAGTATGGCAGAGTGTGGCATTTCCACAGAGGCATACACAGCCAGAGCATCTAACAGGAACTGAGAGTAAAGGACACCCAAGGAGAACAGGTAGATTAAGTCTGGGAGCCTAGTATCACCATGGTCACCGTTAGCAGCAATATGCTTTCAAAGTGAGGCTGAGGATAGAGCTCAGCGGCACAGTGCCTGCTTGGCAAGCGTGAGGTCCTGAGTCTGATTCCTAGTATGAAAAAAAAAATGCTAAAACCATAGATTTTAAAATGTTCTAACCACAAAAATAGGTATGTGAGAGAATGTTTAAGTTGAATAGCTTGATTTGGCTACTCTACAATGTGCATATATTTCAAAATACCAGGTTATACACTATAATTATGCCTTTAAAAATATTTAGCCATTTATTTATTTATTTATTTAATTTTTTGGGTATGGGGAATCAAACTCTCAAACTCACGTTTGCCAGGCAGGTGCCGCATCACTGAGCTACGTCTTTGACTAAATATACTTTTTAACACAATAATTAAAACAAAGAAACAAACAGACAAAAACTGGGAGAAGGCTGAGGTAGTAGGATTGCTAGTCCAATCCCAGGCTGGGCAACTCCATGCGACCCTGTCTCAGAAAAGGGCTGGGGATGTAGTACAGTTGAAAGGCCTTGCATTCAGCCCTTAGTACCATACAACACCAACAACTATGAACAACAAAACAAAATGAAACAAACTGGAGAAGAGCAGGCACATGCCTCGCTGATTTCTCCAGCTAAACATGAGGAGAGCCATGTCTAGTTTCACAGCACAAAGCCTGTTATGTGCTTTGTAACTCAGCAGAATTTTCATCACTGCGGATTCTACAGGTGGGCAATGAGCCTGAGCAGCAGCACCTTCTCCAAGCTCGGGGCCTGATGGGTGACCCGGAGAGGTGGTGGTTTCCAGCATGCACCCCATGTTGCTGGTCCTGTGGGATCTCCCAGGACTGTGGTGAAATGCATGGGATCTGATGAGGTCTCTTACCTGGTATTGTTTTTCAGCTTGTAGTAGTAGTGCAAACAGTCATTGCAGTGGTCTGGTCCAGGCCCATCACAGCCCACCTCACTGCACTCAGGATCACAGGGGCCTTTCCAAAAGAGATTGGAGCAAAAGCAATGCATGAGCCAAGCACTCTGGCGGGTCTGCTTGATCTTGACTTTGGTACAGGATAACATATCACTTTCTTCCTCTCACATAGTGACAGTTTTTTTTTTAAGACAGAGGGACTAACAGCTAACGTGATTCTAAACTCAGAGATAAACTTTGGACTTTTATTACGGAAAAACTAAATCACCTAGGTATCAACTATGTCAAATCTATAGAAGGCCCATTCTTCAAAGTGCATATGGCTGCAAAGTAGGAGATAAGAAATAGTTCAGAATTCAAATGAACACTGAGACTATTGCAACGGGGTGGGGGTGGGGGAACTCCTGCAATCAATATGCAGAACAAAATGTTGGATTTATACAAAATCTAGATGTTGACCAAAAAAAAAAAAAAGATTATTACTCAACTTCTGGACCAAACTGCCTGGTTCATTCAAAGTCATTAGAGGCACAAAACATCCCTGAAATACAATGACCTGGAGAAGCCTCATTATGTCACCTGCACAAGCTTATCAGCATCTTCGATCACAAAGCAGGTACCTTAGGTACTGACAGTAAATTCAAAATTACATTCTATCCAAAGACAATGAGCGTCTCCATGAAAGAAAATAACATAATGTGTAAAATAAGAGCTAACTTAAAAGAACGCCAGGCCTGGGATGAAGGTACCTAATTTCTCTTGCTATATATTCATTGGTACAGAGAGGGAATGCAGAAAGAGAAAATAAAATAGTAAATTATTTTGTGATTTATGAAAAACTTTTTATTGATGTGAGCTACTTTCCACTGAAATAGACAAATATTAAGCCAAGGGTACCAGAGGTGTTCTGTATCCTGTTTTAGTCAAAAAGGACTTATTGAGAACCATGGTTTTCCTATGACATTATGTAACTATGTCCAAAATAACTGAATCCCAGAAGCATAAACTGTTAGAACTGGGTGGAATGACTCAGAAAAAATTCTGGTAGTCTAACAAGATAATTTCACTAATGAGATTGATTTTTTTTTCCTAAGCATTGACAGTGATTGGTCCAGGATCATATAGCTAGAAGGGTTTGGATCAACACTGCCCTGCAATCTCATCTTCATTTTTTGCTTAAAGGTAGCAAATTGTGTGCTCAAAATGGCCTCGCCACCTGAATGGAAATAAGTCATTTCAAATGCTGCAGAATTGAAATATATTCCAGATTAACTACAAAAGTTATTTGACACATTGATTATTCCTGTTTTCCCATAAGCATTACACTTTCATTATATTAAGTTCTATAGCTAGTACAACTTGGGGCAGGTTAACTGTCCACCACTGTCCAGCAGAGGACAGATGGCTGTGCGGGAAAGGGCTTAAGTCCAGCCATCTCTGGGTCTCAATGTCCCTGGGACTCAATGAAGCAGAACAGGGATCTAGTTATTTATAACATCATCTGCACCTCTAGTCAGGCTGCCTTCCAAATGAAGGTAAAAAGTCTCACTTCCAAAGGAAAGGAGTCATGAGGGTCCTTAAATTTTCAACAGATGATTTCGTGAATTGAAAAAGAAAACCCTAAACTAATTTATTCTTGATATGTGTTGACAGGGCTTTATAGGGTAGGTTCACATGCTACGCTCCTTCTCTGATAAACTGTCCCAGATGCACTCTAGTATTGGAGGTTGTGGGGTAATAATGAAGTAACTGTCTCTGTTCTATGCTAACTGCCAATATCAATACTTTAGAAATGTACTGAAAACTCCACAAAATTATTTAGCTGTGCTCAGAGTCTTAACTTTACCAAAATTCAAATTTGAAATATTAGAAAAATTTGAGTAAGAAATAAAGTGATAGGTTTCTATTGTGGTCCATTTCTGTTTTTGGATATACTTTCTCCTATCAAAGATGACAACATGATTGACATCTATAACAGAGTCACTCAAGAAGCTCAAAGCAAACCAAGGCAAACATCTCATGTACTCTAGCTAGCTTCATTGGCCCTAATCAGTCAGCATTTTACTGATTCTGGGAGACTATGTATTTAGAATAAAGGAAGGGGCCGGGGGGGATGGCTCAGTGGAATAAGCATTTCCCTGGCAAGCGCAAGGGCCTGAGTTCAATCCCCAGTTCCGAAAAAAAAAAAAAAATAAATAAAGGAAGTAGAAAGTAGGTATATATATATTAAGATATTCTGCTCAGGTGATTAATGTAGTACATTTATCTCAGTATTTAAAGAAAAATTCTAGAAATATGGCTTATCAAACATCTCTAGTCTAAAGAAGGTATATTACACTTCTATTTGTACAGAGTTCTCTATTAGAGGCTTTCTCCATTAAGTGTTAAATATTATATTTCGAGATTCAATGGTCTTAGAAGTTATAGCCAATGCAACAAGACAGGGGTCAAGGACACAATGAGAAGGACAAAAAAAATTTTACAATTTGCAGGTGATATGGCTATAGTACTGAGACCACCCAGAAATCCAACTCTGGACTTATATTAAGGACAGAGTGAAGCTATGTGGACAAATATTGAGTAAAAGTACAGCAACCAACAAATTTCCTACATACCAGAGTATTTTCATCAGAAAGCATGGAATATTTCCCTTATAAGAGTAACATGTTATATCAAAATACCTAGGTATAACATGATCAAGAAGCAAACTACATAAAATTAAAAAGATCTCACTGAAATAGGAAGACACATATGTTTTATACAGAAAAGCTACATATTATAAAAAACAATTCTTTCCATGAGCTTGCATGTAAATTCAAATTAAATTCCAATGGGACTTCTAAAGGGTACTTAGTAAACAATTTAAAAATTTATTTGAAAAACAGCAGCAGGGCAATCATTTCTATGAAAATGGGAAGCAGATGTTCAAAAAATATTAAAATACATCAGGCGGGCTGAGGGTGTAGCTCAGCAGTAGGAGTATACTTAGCATGTACGAGGCCCTAAATTGAACTGCTAACATCCCTGACCTCTCCCTATACACATACACACACAAAAAAGAAAAAACAAAAATAAACAAAACCCTCCACAAGAAACACTGCATGTGGCATTCATTTGAAAGTGGACTGATGAATGAGAAAAGGTGATACTAGCAAACATCTTGACATAAAAACTTATACTGTAAAGAAAGCACCATAAACCAATAAAAGAAAGGATGCTCAAGCAATGATGTTAATCTGTTTGGGAACTCAGGACAGTTTCAATTCACACTATATATCATAAACCTATATAAGTTCTGGGTGAGTTAAGGCTTAAATATAAAAAAATAAAAGATTACAAAATATAAAACAAAAAGATTCCCAGGTGAATAGTTAGCTGATATTCAGGGATAAAACTGCACTAAAAAACAAAACAAAACAAAACAAACAAACAAAAACCCCCTAGGACTGTGATATCTGAAACTAAAAACCCTTTAACATTGTTTTCTGTTAAATTATCACACAAAAAATTACACCGGGGAAACAAGCGATAATCGCAGATATGCTTTTTAATCAATATGAGATAATGTGAGACAGTAACAGGCTACGAGTTCCTATAATACAGGTCCGAGATTGAGCGCCTTCCTGAACAGGAAAGTGGGCAAAACCCAGTTGTATTTAATTCAGGGAGCCTCAGGGGTAAGTGTTTTTAGATTTACTAAGGCTCAAAGCCATAAAATATAAAAAAATGTTCTTTCTATTTTTTCTTTGCTGTTTTCTTTCCAGGCAGTGCTGGCAGGAATGAGCGCAATAAAAGGCCCACCGCTGGCCACGGGGAGACGGTGCATCGTGTGCGCAGCGCAGGCTGCCTGACTGTTTCCAAGCTGCGTGACCGATTACCCCCTCTGCGGCCATAAATCTTGGACTGGAATTCTATTCTAAAGGACTAACCCAAGATATAGACAAAAACTCCTAAATAACGGTGTGCATCTACATCTTGTTTAAAAGTAGTGTAAAACGAGGCAAACTGTGCATCTCAGATTATGGTTTAAATACTCCATGGTATGATCGGAGTATGACTGTGAGCTCTGAGACGACACTTACGGTTAGCTGAATACATGACTACATGATCAAACTGATAGGCACGCACAAAATATTTGGGAGGATGAAACATCTGACAATGTGATGTGTATTATCATAGCATATATTATTTTAGTCTCTCAGGGGGAGGGAGTATGAGCATTTTGAAAGTGTGACCCGTGCAGCCCACTCACCCGCATAATCCTCTGTACCGTAGTCTTCTGTGGGGTCCTCCACTCGGCTGTAGCGGAAACGCTCCACCTTAGGAAACTCATTGGTTGGGGAGTATGGCTGTACCGAGGTGCCATAGAGGACTAAGGACCATTCTTTCAATTTACCTGTAAAACCATCATATGATCCAATATTCATTCCTTCACTGAATCAAACTTCTGTTCTACTCAATTCTTCATGTATCTATCATTCAATGTTCATAACCACTATATAAACTAACTACTTTTGCTGTTTTTTGACACAGGGTTTCACTTTGTAGTACAGGCTGGCCTCAAATTCATGGCGATTCTCCTGCTTCAGCCTTCCCAGTTCTGGGATTACAGGAGTGCCCAGTTGATAAACTACCTTCCAGATTGTGCTGTCCCATATGGCAGCTACCAGCTGTACAGTTTATGGCTACTTCAATGAACAGAAGTTAATTGGAAGTAGACCACTCCCATCCCTGCAGAGCGTCTTCCACATACCACTGCAAAACAGCACTTGTAAGTCAAGAACGCCGTGAGACCACAGGGAGCGTCTCACCTCCTTTGGATGGATTACAAGGAACAGTCTGCTTTCGTTAGGTCCTTTAGCTCTTAGCTTCAAAAAGTTAAAGTTTTCAATGCAAATTAAAGAAAAAGGGAAAACTGCCTCTGAGCCATTAAGCTTCCCATGATTCACACGAAACAGAAGCAACCATTAAGAAGTGATTTAACACAAAAGCATTTCAAACCTACAAATATGCTGGGAGGAAGGCAGACCCCGCACCTCAAAATGCCTCTCACTTCGGCTTAGTACACAGGATCTGGGATGGCCAGCGCTGGGGTCAAGGGTAGTGTCAGGGGCTACAGCAGAGAGTGACCACTTTCAGCTGAGGGGCCTCCCATCCATCAGCACCTATAACCAGCACCAAATCTAGGCCTCAGGTTTCCAAGTACAGCGCTTGCTAGATGCTAGCAAGCATAGGCCTAGACACTGTGCAAATTTTATTCTATTGAATTTGATAGCAACTCTGAGGCAAGGTCTAGCATTCCCCATATCCTGGGGATACTGGTGGGGAAACAGATGCATAGAAGTTGCTGATTACACCAACTTCAGTAAGAGGGCAGATGAAATTAAAAACCATTCTGAATCCAAATCTTGAACTCTTTAACTTTTTTACAAATAATTCTAGGACTGTAGGAACCTGATATTGAGAAATAAGTACACAGATACTTCTTGGCTTATGATGAGAAAAATCGCTGTAAATTAAAAATATTATAAGTTAAAATTACTTTTAATACAGCCTACTAAATAGCATAGCTTAGCAGCATCTATTATAAAATGTGTGCATAATATTTATATTAGCCTTCAGCTAGGCGAAATCACCTAGCACAAACGTATCTTTTCAAAATGTTGAACATCTCATGTCTACACACCGATCAGTGTTTTGGGGACAAGATGGGATGTGAAACCACAATATCGCAAAAGCACCAGCAACATGGTCCAAAGGGGACCAGCTACCTTTTCTCATACTTGGTTGCCTTGCTGGGGCCATGGCTTACTGCCTCTGGCCAGGATTGCAAGAGAACCCTGCCCTGCACATCACCAGCCCAGGAAAAGACCTGAAGTCAGAATTCAAAGTAGATATGGTTTTTACTGAATGCATGGTGCCTTCACACCATCATAAAGCTGAAGTCTTAAAGCAAATAATCATTAAATCCAGGATCATTCACAAAGGACTAATTTTTTTCTGACATGTACATAGGGCCAGTATAGCTAGTTTACATGCGATTTATTCTTGCTGGCTTTTCTTTGCATTCATTTCCACTACCAGGGTGGTGTTCAGGCTCAGTCCTAAACGGCACTCCACAGGTAGAGGCTAGAGGCATCGGGAAATGATGTCTTCTCTGCCCCGAGATGACAGTAGAAGGGCAAATCTACTTCCCTCAGGGCATTTCTCAAGTGTATCAATGGAATATACAGTGCAGTGACACTGCAGCTCACCTTATCCACAAGGCAGCCTAAAACCTAGTTGATTCTGGATCTAAGAAAGTATCCTCCAACACGCTTTGAAGAACAGTGTCTCGAAATTAACTGTATCCTTGGTGCCACTTCTAAAGGGCATCATAGGCCCATTAGGGATATCCTTACATAAACTCATCTCTAATTATCACTCATGATGCTGTCCCAAGAGCCAAGCAGGTGTCAGTGTGATGTTCTTGAATTTCCAGACCTGGGAGCTAAATTAACTTCTTTTTGTTATAAAGTATTCAGCCATGGTATTTTATTACAGCATCCCAAAACAGATTTAGATATGTGAGAACATTTTGATCAAAACACCTCCCATCATTTTCTTATATCATACATTTATTGATAGACAGGAAGCTCTCACCTGGAGTCTTGAAGTTCCGCAGCTGAGAGGGTGTATCATAAACTTCAAGGATCCAATCACCAGCAGCTTGCTCTCCCCAGCAATGAATGGTCATGAACTCCCAATTTTTAAATCCTTCCATAGAATGGTCAAATAACCTGAAAGAGAATCACGCAACATCACCTGGTATGGAACTTAAAATGCAGTGAGGGCACAGACAACACCACAACCCGTGACTGTCTGCAGTCAACATGTTTAGCTGCACACTGGAGCTGCCTTGGCCCTGGAATCAGCAGTTGGCAGACCCACGTGTACATCAATGTCATGTGCTAAGCAAACAGGCTTGGGGCTGGCCACGCAGGAGCAAATCTACAAGGACTGACTACATGGGAAGCAGGGAAGCTAGGCTGAGGAAGGCCCTGCCCACAGCGCTGACAGTAAAGTGTTGAGGATGTGGAGTAACTGCAACACTTTCATGGAGTTGAGAGGAACGCAAAAGCGCTACAGCAAAGTCACCATAAAACTAAAATAACCTCTTTTAAAGATCTTTATCCAGGAGAAATATGTCTGCAGAAGTAATTCCACTGGAGTATTCTTTTTTTTTTTTTTTTTTTGAGACAGGGTCTCACTATGTAATTCAGGCTGGTCTTGAACTTATTACATGGTATAGGTTGGCCTTGAACTCAAGGTGACTCTCCTGCTTCAGCCTCCCAATTGCTGGGATTATAGGCATGCATAATGAGTGTTCATAATTATCACAATCTGTATATAACTCTAGTGACCATCAGCAGGCGAATGGGTAAATGAATTGTGATATATTAATGCAATGAAATGCTATTTAGTACTAAAAACTAATTAATATAGATAGTTGTACAATTATAATTAACATATAATATATACGACTATACATAAGAATTTCACAAACATATGTTAAGTGAAAGAAGCCAGACACAAAGACTACATATTTTATGATTTGGTCAATCTTATTCTAGAAAAGGTAAAACTATAAGTAAGGAGTCAGCAGGTGTCAGGGGCTTATGAGGGGAGTGATTGAATTGTTTTATATCTTCAAAGGAATGGCATGTGGCTAAACAACTATATGAGTTTGTCAAAATTCAGTGTTATTCTTGTGAAAAACTGAATTGTTTACATATAAATTTTGGCTCAGTAACTAGATTCTCCCCATTATTCTTATGCAGTTCAAGAAGTCAAGGCTATACTCTCAGCTGAGGTATTCTCTTTTGATCCTTCCAAACGCTTTCCAAGTTCTTAACTCCCTACATGAAGTATCCCTCTGATTGAAGTACCTAGATTCACTGCTTCCTGTGATGGGGTCCTGAAGTGTGCAAGAAAATAACACAACTAAATCTGTGACAGAGAATAAAGATGCGTGAGTGGACAAGGAGCACATGCCATTTGCATCAGAATATAATGCACATGTGACTATCCAAACACCCAGAAGACCCTGAAGGCATTTTCTTTTTAATTTTTTTCCATAATTTTATTGAGAAATAAATAGCAATGAGACAGTTTCAAATCAAATCGGCAGGGCAGTTCCAATAATTAACACACTGCATACTGTCTTCCCAGTGGTTATTTGTTGTATAAGATGCAGACATGATATCCTATTTACAAACACTATTAGAACAAATCCCTCTATTCCTTGAATTAAGAGAATGTAGCTACATATCTAACTTAACCATTTTGAACACACAGATACAAAATGGTCATTCATCTGTAAATATTATAGGTGTGTGAACTCAGCAAAATATTCCCAAACAGTCCAGTAGTCCATAGTAGTACTGAATCTTCCACTTGACTGGCAATGTCAGAAGTTGTTGATCTGAGTCTCCTACAGCTCAACATAACAACATAGCTTTACTTCGTATACTTCGTTTTCATACTTTTCTGCGGGATGGTTAAGACCAAGATAAAGCAAGACCTATGTAACAAGAATTGTAGCTTTTGGATCGGATAAGGTCAGTCAAATCCCCTCAGGATTTATCCTGAGACCCTGTACTTCAGATTGTAGATCCTTTGTCAGTGTCAGCCATGTGGATGAATCACAGTCATTGTTTGGCCAATGTGCTCTCTGTGAAAGCCTGAGAGAATATTTTCTCTCCATGTGACTCTCCTTAGGCACACTCTACATCATCGATCACTTTCCTCTGTGGCCCCATAATCTCCTTGATCAGAAAATTTGGGACACAACTGAGTTACATGATGCTACAGTACAGGTTCTCATATGTCCTGAGTCTTAATTGACCTGGGAAGGCTAGGGCTAAAATGTTGACTTTCCTTGAGGCCCTTCTTTTTCTCTAATTTTGGTCTGCAAACTTGGGTTGTTAAGCCTCCAGAAGAGAAGCTTATTGTTATTTACCATACAACCTAGGCTGTTGAGCTTAACCTCACTATCTGTCTGAATATCAAACATCTTAGGCATAACATGGGACAGGTATTTTTCATCAAGTATTGCTATGTTTAACTTTAAGTTCCTCCAGAATATGATGGAAAGAAATTTAAAAAATTAAAATATATTTTAAAAATAGGAATAAAGAATGATATATATTTACACATAAGTCCAGAAATTTAACCATCTGCAACATTGTAGTAGGACAGTCCTGCCAACACTTCTTTTCCTGTCTCCTGCCTTCATTCACCACCCACTTCTTGAAGATATTTTCTATGAGGTGGAATCTCTTGGTGACAAGATGGGACATAAGACAAGAATTTTTTGTAGTTTTCTTTTTAAAATTCTATACAACTATTATTTTATTGAAACAATAACAAAATAAGAATAAATTGAGAATTAAGAGTGGTAAAAACAGAAGGAAGACATCATTAGCAGTACCTTAGTGGCCACATCTGGTTACTTTCCTTCAGTGGAGACAAAGGAAAAAAAGTGAGGGCTACACAGGAGATGCAGTCCACTTGTCTTAATTTTATGTTCACCAAGTAAACCAAGTGGTTATAATTTCACTTTCTAGGTTTGTCTTTCTTTGGGAGAAAGTACACCCTTCTAAAACAAAAACCAACCAGTTTAGTCTCCTTAAAATAACATAGTAGAGTTTGACCTTTTAAAAAGATATTATATTAACAATGTTCGCGGCTTCCTCTAAAATAATAGCTGGAGGGGGCTGGTGAGATAGCTCAGTGGACTAAAGCTCCTCCTTAGGCAAACACAGGGACCACAGTTTGATCCAGGCACCACATGCTGAGCCAGCCCTGTCCCCAGGGCAGGCTGAGCAGGCCAGGGTCTGGGCAAGGTGGCTCACCCCTATAATCCCTGCACTAGGGAGGCTGAAGATAGGAAGATCACCATGAGTCTGAGCTGCATAGTGAGACCCTGCAACAACCAAATTCATTAAAATAAATAAATAATGAAATAAGACCTGGAGTCTAAAACTGGGTTCAGTGACACAAGATTAGATTGGGTTAAGTAAACAAACCCCAGATATAATCTCCACAGAAAGGCAATGAAAAAGAAAATCACCCAATACCTGTTTCTTAGCCTTTGGAAAGGTGGCATAAGCCAAGTTGAATAGATACCTTTCCTGCAGGACACTTCTGCCCTTTGGAATAACATGTGTTTGAAAATTTCCCCAGTGGAGTCACTGAATTTCAAACCTAAGTACACTCTCTCAGGCCCGCCTTTTCCTCCCCACTCCTCGTCCCCTCCTTTCTTCCTCTCCTCCGCTCTTCCCTCCAATCCCTTTCCCTCTGCCCCCCCCCCAATCATAACTGTGTATTACTGGGGAAGGCTATGTTACCTTCTGAACAGGTCTCTGTAGCACCTTGAGCAGGCACACATGGGACTGGTGACAGGGTCCCATGATGACAGGGCTAAGTGTGGCATGTTCACACTGTGCCTGGGCCTTGCGAAAGGATTTATGGAAATCCTACCATTCTTTGCACAGACACAGTAGGCAGGAGGGTTTGTTTCACAAGTTTATGATTTAAAGTTGGACTTGGCTGAGATGAAACTGCCATAGAGTTCCCAAGCTAGAACCCCGGGTGTATGAATGTTAGGCAAAAGCCAATGCAGTGATAGAAGGAATTTTCTTTATTTTATTTTACATATTTAGTACAGAGTCCATAGGGTCTCACTACACAGATTGGATTCATAGTGATCCTCCTGTTTTCAACCTCCCAAGTGCTGGGATTATAGACGCACGCCACCACGCCCAGTTTCAGTCCCCTTCTCAGTGTACCCTGGGGGGCGGAGCTGGCATGGCACGCCCAGGATAGAACCCTGGTCCCTGAGCCTGCTTAAGCAGGCTAGCTTTAGTCCACTGAGCTACCTGGCTGGTCCAGAAGGAATTTTCGTAAGCTGCCCTTCCTTCCGGAAATGTGCCAACATGGAAATGGAGAGGTGGAAAACCAGTGCAGAACCACTTCACTGCTAGAATGCAAACGCCAGTCCTTTTGAGACACGGTGCCATCTGAGGGCACTGAAGCCATAACTTGTCACAGAATAGGGCTCCACAAGTACCAAACTTAAAAGCAGCTCCCAGACAGTTTAGATAGAGCATTTGGCTCCCTGCCTCATATCCCAAACTACAAAGGGGACCTGGGGCCGCCACTGCATGGGGGGCAGTCTTATTTCCACAGCCGCAGCCAACTTTTCGTTACTCACGGGCCAATTATTTGACTGTTGGATTAATAGGCCTATGTTTCTTCCCTTCCATTCTTTCCCATCCACCTTGGAGAATCACTCCCTGGCCACCAATTACTGTGTAACTGCATTTGGAACAAAAAATTAAATACAGACTGGATGCCAAGAAGATTATTTGTAAATCAAAGCCCAAATAGAAGTTTCAAAGCTCGGGCTTTATCTGTGTTTGTCTGTGTCCATGTAGCTGAGCCGCTGGCTCTGAGGTCTCCTCGCTTTGGGCACAGTGGAGATGCTCACTAGCTCCATGTGAATGTACGAGCTGAGAAGGGGACCATGCAGCCAAACATGACCGCAACGCACAGACAGCTAACCAGGCTCCCACATGGCCAGTCTCACCCTTTCCTTTCTAATCATAGATCACTTCACTAGGAATGCATCATTCCATATTTTGATTCTAATTCAGTGTTTCAATTACTTTGTACTCATAATACTGTTCACATTTTTCAAAAATAGCATCTTCTGCATTTAAAATAAGGCAATGTA